AAACATTTACTGGTACGAGCACTTATCCCATGTTGTAGCTTTTTTTTTTGGTTGTAAGTTTGTGCCTCTTCTGGGTATTAGCTCCTTGAGTGCAGAGACTACACCTTGTGCATCTCCATCTGTCTACTCTCTAACCCAGCATCTGTCCCAGAACGGAGGATAAGTATTTATTGATGATAAAAAGAAGGAAGGTGTTATAAAACCAGAATCTGTTAAGCGGTAGTAAAGCCCAATTTCAATAATTGGGACAAATTGGGAAAGACTGGATAAGGGCCAGGCACAAGGCTTGAAAAGCACCTTGTAGGATGCCTCTTATGGGAGGGCTGAAAAGTAAATATGTTGGTAGGTAATTTGAATTGTGGTTAGGAAAAAGACTTAGAGAACCTTCAGGGTAACTGGTAAGCTTTTGCAATTAGAAAATCACTTCTGTGTTACATAATTTTTCCAAAGATTTGAAAAATGCTCTACTGCTTTTATACTTTTGAATTTCCCCAAGTATTCCTGCTTACCTGATATCACATATTTTTGCACTAAATGTTTGGAAGCTTTGCTTCAATAAAGTGAATGTCAACTTTACGTTGTCTAATTACAGCAAATACCAAGGCAGTGACATTCAGGCAGGAAGGGTTTACAAATATAAGTTTGACTCCTTCTGAGAGGGAGATGTAGGGGCTGCTTCACTCCTTCGCCCGGTCCAAGTGGCTCTGTCCCTGCCCTCCCCAGCTCCTGGGATCAGTCAGGGGGAACATGGCTCTGAGCAGGGACAGCAGCAAAGAGAAGATCACACCAGAAAGTTTACCAAAGTGGAGCTTCCGTGCTGAGGCTCCCAGCCTCCTTTCTTGGAGGTAAACAACGGAGGCAGAAAAGGCAAAAATTACTGTTTACTATTATGACAGCCAATTACCTGTGAAGGAGCCTGAGCAGGCACCGCAAGGGATAAGAAATGTATAAACACCACTTTGAAAAAATTACTGCTAATTATCTTTAGGAATATTTTATAAAAAGGCAAATGATGGAGATGTTGATTAGAGTTTTCTAGGCCACTGTCCTAAAGTTCTTATTGTTAAAATACAATTTCCATGATCTTATGTCCAAAAGCAGTAACTTGATATGTTGATGATAGCATATCTTAAAAATAAATGAGCAAATTACAAAATGTTCATTTGTCTTACAGATTTTAAAATTATTATAATAAATCACATTACTTGAAATTGTTTACCTCAAACAATAAATAATGTTGAGTTTATATTCTATAAAATCTATATATCTGATAAATATAATATTCAAGTCTTCAATTAATTTAATTAAGGAAACAAAATACTTCAAAAAATCAAAAGTTTCAATTATGTAACTAGAAAAACATTTTGGACATTATTTATATTTAACAGCTTTTGAATTTAACCCCCTGTATGTGTAAAAAGATGTTCAGAAAAAAACCTCTACTCTTCATTTCTCCTCTCACCCCTCATCTGGGTAGGTTTTATTTATGCATTAGACGACCTTTTTGGCCATTAGAACCATCTTGCTTCAGCAGTTAATTAACACAAGTACCATAATTTAATACAGTTAATGCTACTTGATGCCCTTTAATGTACCTTCCATTAGTGATATTATTGTAGTATTACCCCGTAAATTAAAATGAGATCAAGACTAAGAGAGCTGCTCTTTAATTAAGGTACTGGCACACTGCACTCGTCTATTATTCACTAGAGAAAATCACCCTGATTTACTGAAGCAGGACATCCATAAGTCAGAATTAGTTCATGAAGATTATTAGGTTTATCGAACAATGTAAGTACTACGGAATCGCCGAGATTGCCAACAGCCATGTTTCTTTTTTTCCTTCATTATCTTAATAAATACACAATGAGAGGGAGGCAAAATAAGTATGTAAGAAAAGAGGAATAAATTTTCTATGAAGAGATGCAGTTTTTGTCACTAGTAAAATAGGTATCAGATGTATCACTTGCCAAAGAAAAATAAATACATTAGTCTAACGATAATCAAAACATCATTTTTACACCAAACAACACTAGCCAGTTTAAAACGTACACGCGCACAAAGAAATGGAGAATTGGAATTCACAATCAGTTAATTCAAGCAAAGATATCCCATCTATTTTTGATTCATTGTGTAGTGTTTCTTGGTTAAAAATTCTGTATTCTTTGTCCACTCTTTTATGTATATTTATCACATCTGGTCTCCATTCTATTTTCCTCAAATAATTCATGTCAATTCCCCGCATTACGGTGTGGGTGCGGGTGGAAGTGACAAGTAGAAAATTATCACTATCATGATCAGATATAGACATGTAAAGGCTTGTTAAATATCCTAATCACTTCATAGGATGGTGCGGGGGCACGCGGGAAACAAATACTTCAGTTATATTTTGGAAAGTATATATTTACGATAGTCTTGAAAAGGAACCTTTAGAACTTTCTTTGAGAGATCATCAATTAATATTTAATCCTTCTATAGATGATTTGTTGCATAAGAGAAAGACAACTTAGGCCATTACTCTTACTGAAATTTTCAAACATTCCCTTCAGTGGCTCCATCATTAGCAGATCTTCCTTAGATAACTTAAAAGCTGGAGACACGCCTGAGCCATCAGGCCTTGCTTCTTTAGTCCCTCCCCTAAGACTAAAAATACTCCAGCCATCTGGTGCCTAGTGCTGTACATGCCGGCGCCAGTTCTGCCCTGACGATTTGGACAGAGTCTGGAGGGGACAGAGGGGGACCTTATGGAAGGGGCTCACCTCTCCTGGACCTTTCTCTTTTGCCCAGCTGCTTCTCACCAGCTTACAGTCGGCTGGTGAACAGGAAAAGACAGTGGAGCTGAGTCCAGAGCAGGGAGGAGGGCTCCTCCAAACTCCTCAGAACCAGTGAAATGCAGTTGGAGGACACGAATAAGTTGAGAGATAAAAGAAAAGTGGTAAATCTGGAGGAAACTACATTTCTAACACTCCACCTTTGGGAGATGGCACATCTGCCCCCAATGGAAAATGCATAGAAATGCCTTTAGCTTTAAAGTGCATTTTACATTTTCTTTTAAATAATTAGAGGAAACAAAAATGAATACCTAATAACAAAAATAAGCATCAACAATGGTTACTTCCCAACCAAAAAGCTTCAGAAGATTGCCTTCTTTACAAGCGTCAAATGAGAGTACTTGGGGAAGTTGGGCTATAGGGATTTGGGCTCAGATTAAGGATTTCTTGAACTCTCAGGAAACTGATCCAGATGAATCCACTTAACAATGTAGATTATACTAGGATTAAAATTCATATCTCAGTATATTATTTTTTATTTTATTCTTATAGATGAATTGAATACTTGTTACTTCATTGCATTAAGCTACTGTTAATAATATCAACATCAATTATTTTCATATATCATATATCTCCAAGAGAAGACACTAAAAACTGATAATCTTTTCCTAAAATGTTCATGAGCATAATGGCTGCCTTTTATGATAAATAGCAAACTCATGTTTAAGGCAATAGCTCCATATTGTCGTGCCATGTTACCTGCTAATATGATACATGAACTGTCCTCTATACCCTGGAACTCACAAAACTCAATATTGAATCAATGCATATTTCTTTCAAAAATATTACTTTGCTTTAAAGATATAGTCACAATATATCACCAGCACCTTGGTTAAAAGTTTTTAAGAAAGGCTCCATAGATAAAGATTCTTAATATTTGCACAAGGAGCATGAAGCCAGAACAAAGCTGAGAGTAGATGACCACTACTTTTCCACAGCTAAGATTCTGATATCTTTGACACCACAATGAGGTCAAGCCTACCACTCTGCTCTATGGCCCTTACCTTAATAGCAGTGACTTCTTCCTTTTTTTTGGAACATGTAGGTCAGGCAACTCTCTGACGGACCAGAGAGTCTCAACAATTCCCCAGTTTCTGAGGAATGGCTGCCTAAGGGATGCTGGAAACAAGTAAATTCAATAAATCCTGCCCTGTCTGTTTATATTTTATGATGACTTAATTAAACCTAAATGATATATATGATTTATATTCTTATCCTCATACATTTTGATTTAAAGCTACCTTGGCCTTTTTGTTGGCATGCTATTCTTTGCTTGTCTTTCCCTTGTATACCATTTGCTGGATACTCTACTCCTACCTTTAGTTCTTCCCACTCATTATCTCATGCTTGCACTCCCATCAGTTGGGTACTTTGATAACATACCACACTTAAAAAGCTGGTTGCAAATCTCTACGTTGGTGGTCCCGGTTTTTCATTATCCAAATTTTTCATTTAAATTTCTTTGAAATTTGCTCTATTTTGTCTCTGATATTGATATATTATCAAAACCAAAGATATCCCTGGCTGTGACCATATTCGCAATTGATCAAAATGAAGGCAGCCTGCCTGACTCAGGTCCATATTTACAAATGCTAGTATATCTTTTTAATATAATAACATCCAAACATTTGAAAAGTACAGCTTGCCCCAATTTAACAAAAGCATTCTGTTTCCTAAACGCTTTTGGTTCTGAGTTAATAAATTTAAAGAAATCTAACTTTCATTTTTGGGATTTTTTTGTGCAATACAACAAAACATAAATAGATTGTTGTATCATGTCTAAACCTTCTCTTGCATTTGAAAACAATGTTAAGATATAAAGATGTATTTCTTGTTTTTCAGTCCCTTATAGAGCAACTGGCTTTGCTTCCCCTGGCTTCATTGTCTTAAAAGCTTAAAGGACTTCCTGACCTAGGTCTTCTATTTTTTTTTGCTTTTATTTAAATTCTGAAGAATCATGCTAGGTTCAGTGACGGCAAATTTGGGGATTACAGATTACCGCTGAATACTAAGGGTCTCAAATGCCTTCACGACCTACTTCTACACTGGTGTTCCTGAGAAAGTGTTGCAGTAGAAACTGACAAATGTCCCTTTACAGCTGTCGGACCAGCACAATGGCATTTTCTTTGACGAACTCATTCCCATTCAAGGAGACAGACGTTCTCTTACCTTCCTCGCACCTTTATGTCTGAGATCGCGTAAAAGTAGCGTGCCAAGTGTAGCTCATCTACAAATATTTCCCCAACGGCTGGTCTTAACAGCCTTATCCTCAGGTCTGTGACTGTAAAGAAATCTCTGAGCTTCTTGGTGGTATCCAGCTGTCCGTAGAGGGAAGCCATATTGCGTAGCCGAGGTCCAGCAAAAAACGCGAACCTGTCTTTGATTTCAAAGTGGATTATTTTGCTATTTGTTGTATACCCTGTGGAATACTCTTCTGTGCAAATTATTTCTAAGACCGTATGCTGTGATAAATCCTTCACGGATTTAGGATCCATGTGAAAAGCATCTAAGCAGTCTGTGGCATAGTACTGATAGGGCTGCCATGTTCGTCCATAATCGAGAGACTTCTCCAGGATCATTTGGTCTGGACGCCCCGATTCAAAGGTAATGACTATGTTGTCTGTGAGCTCAATGGTTTTGCTCCAAGACAGAGTGATGTTAACCTGGAGAGGCTTGGGATACTCCTTCCAAGTGGCAGACTGCCAGAATGTGGAGGGGTGTCTTCCTTCAAAGTCAAACATCAGCTCAGGGGGGTGTGCCAGCTCGGGGGTGCTTGCATCACACTCGTTATTGCACATGTAGGGGTTGCCCTATGGAAGAAGAACAAAAGAAGGTGCATCAAAACACTGCTTTGACACAAGTCAAGTCTTGCCATATTGTTGCTCAGTAAGAGGCTAGGAAAGAAAAAAAAAAACAAACCCTGTTTTCAGTAATCATTTTTATTTGCCCTAACTAGATTCTCCTCTTTAATAGCTCGAAAGAAAAAGCAATATGGTAATTTTCTTGTCTTGTTTCCTTCCATGTGCTCTAAGAAATGAAAACAGTTTATTTATCCCATATGTGTTGGACCCATAATGTGGTCACAGAAGCACAAAGACACTGAGCAACTGTCTAACGGCTCAATGCCTCTGCTTCCTTTTAGAAAGACTCTATAGAAAGGCAAAGGAAATTCCTCCCTGCCTCAAGGATATTCCTTAAGAGCACAGTTCTGTAAAAAGTCATTTTTTTCAAGCAAAGCTTTAGATTTAGCCATGAATATACTTGTGTCCTGTCTGGGAGACAATACCCCCATACAACGTTCAGCTTCTTTTGGCTCTGCCTCAAATCCATCATACTTAACTGGGTCTCTGCTTCATAAAGTCTGGTTTTAAAACATTTACTTTGTTCACCACAAATCATTAAAATGTGGTACCCTGTAGGCTCTGGGGCTTGGTCCAAACATCTGCCATCCTATTAGCTAGAGATAAGAGGATTGCTCAGGAAATCTTGGGGCTGGGGGTGTGCTCCAAGTTATCAGGACAAGAAAACCCACCACTCAATTAGGAGGGTGTTGAACATCAAACCACAGGCACTTGGTGCGTTTATTGCTCTGGGCTAGCCCATAGGCAGCTCTCTGTAAATGTTAGTTATTATTATTCTCCCTCTAACAAAGGCTACTTCCCTCATAGCCCATTCAAACTAGAGGCTGGAAATAAATCTAGTTACATCATAAGTTACAACACTGCTTACGCTACACTAAACGGCTGCACTTGGCTTTCATCAGTAGATTCGATGGCAAATGACGGGCTCTCAGATTTTTGTTTATTTTGTTTTTAAGAAAACAAATAATATCATTTGGAGTCAACTATTCAGTTATTTCTCTCTTATCTTGTACTTGGTAATTATATGCATGGACTGCTGAAAGAATCAACTTTCTGACATGGTCCTTAGGCTTTCTCCTGTAATTACAATTAGATTTCTTTTTCTTTTTCATGAACTGTAAGCTTTTTATCATACCTGTAGGACGCATAGGCTAGGTCTCAAATCATGAATCTACACTTTAGATAGCGACGCTCAGTTACCAGCTGACTACTATGAAATACAAGATGAGCACTGATTGGAGAATTGCTTTGGCCTCCCTAGAGGCAACTTTCTCCTACCTAGTCAGCTAATACTCTCCTTCTCTCTTTCCCATTAATGCAACTGAATCCTAAAGCTGGCAACAGGTTTGGGGGACTCAAGCATAATTGAGATGGGGCAGGAGAAAGGAGAGAAGGTACATTATTTGAGGAACAGAACTGTTTTAAAAATACACTCAAGGAATCAGTGATAATGGAAATGTTTCTGTATTTCTCTCTCAAATTTCAATTCCCTATTCCTGATCCCAGCATCTGCGGCACTATTTATAGTATCCCCTTCAAAATGAGCCAAGGGGGGAAAATAAGTTTCTGTTCCAGGTGGAATAAATCACCAAATTTATTATTATTTAAACTCTCTTAAGCACACCAGAGAGCCAAATGCAAAGCTCTGCAAACTGGCAAAGGCTTTTTATGGAGGGCTATAAATATTGTGGAATCTGTCAGGATTTATAAATTCTAAATATATGTAAATGCACATTTTACTGGAAGGGGTCAGATTTACACAAATCACACCATCTTTTGAAATTTACTGAAAAAGTACGGTCACTTCAAAATCTGTCAGCATGTAGCCATCTGACACAATCATTAACTCGGATGCTACTACCTTCTTCCCGACAAAAGCGTCTTCGTCTGAGGTCAGGAGTATGGAAACAAAGGGAATCAACTCTGCGGGATACATCAAAATGAGTTATCAGATGTTTGTTTTAGGTCATGTTGAAAGATAGCATTTGTTCACTTTCAGCATAGGCACACAGAGCTTCTCAGATGGGGCTGGAGAGCTGGGACCACAAGAGGAGGCACATCAGGCTGATTCTGGAAATGAGCTAATACTAACAAACCTAGCTTAGAAAACATCCCTGATGAACTCTATCTAAAAGGCACTCACGTCTATGTTCAATAAAGGGTGTTGGCAATGACCACCGTTTAGCTACCAGTGTGTGTGAGACACTTCACATATATTATCCTGGGTAATCCCTCTCATCCTGATCTACAGGAGAGGAAATCGAGGCATAGAGAAGTGTTAAGTAACTTGCACAAGGTCACGCAACAAAGTGAGTAAGAGGCAGAGCCAGGACCACCCTCCTGTACGGCCCTGGCCTACTGTACGCCAAGACAACAGAGTTCCCCACGTTGCAACCCTGTCTTAGAAGCAGGATTGGCTGGTAGAAAAGAAATGTCTAAGATCAAATGTGTTTGGGAAACACAGCCTAATCTTCTTGTCTCAGAGAGCCCTGATGAGCGTTACCATAATCTGAGATACCTTGAAATTAAGAACCTTGCTTAGCTCCGTGTAATACCTAGTTTCACAAACCTATTTGACCACGGAATTCGTTTTGGGTTAGTGCCCTGGACTGCATTCTTTGAGATTCTCTGCTTTGTATTACTCTTAAAGTTATAAACATGTGGGGACTACACAGTACTGCTCAACCCAGTTTCAGTCCTTTAATGAAGCCATGGCCACAGAAGGCACATGGTCTGTCCTACAGGGGCGCCCTTCCCCTGAAGCTCAGCAGGTCAGCCAGCTCAGGGTAAGTGTCTACTTTACATCAAGTTCTTCATTGCTTTGCACAGATTTGGTTCTTTAGAAAAGACAGAACTGTTTCATACATTCCACAATTATTTATTGGTTATCTACTATGTTACTATATTTAAGGCACTGGGCTTGGCTCTCATGATACAGTCGTAAACAAATGCAAGTCCTTGCTTTCTGTGGCATCCTAGTTGGGGGAGATGCACTAAACAAACTAACATATAGTGTTTTCTAATGTTACATGATGATAACTGCCATGGAGAGAAATGAAGCCAATTAAAGGAGGGGATGGTGCCGAGGGATAGTGATCTAATTTTATACTGGGAGGTCAGAGAAAATCTCCCTGATAACATGACATTTGAGCAGATTAAGAACAATTCCCAGTTTACACTGGAGATGATCAGAGGAGTTGACCAGAATGACAGTTTCATCCTTCCTTTGACTCTACTCTTAGTGATATTTTTAGCAACATAACAATTTATTGAAATCAATGGATAAACAAATCATCTCAAATGAGAATCTGCACCAAATGACTGTAGATATCCATCCCCCAAATCAATTGGACTGTTCTTATTTCACAGAACTCATACTTCTTCAGGAGATTAATGATTTGATGGCTATTAATGTAACTTACTGAGATATGATAACATTGAGAAGAAATTAGCAGAGGAAGGAAAAAAAAAAAAAGGTTTCTTTCTGGTCCCTGCACTTTAGTTGAGAGGAAAAAAATAAAAGAAGAAAGGTTCAGAAGCTGAAAATCTTACCATTCCCCAAAGAGAAAGCTGGAGGAGAGATTACATGCTAAAATATTTAGTGTAAATATTTCACGTGGGTGTGATCTGTAATACTGTTGTTACAAAGAATTATCAATATGAAAACAATTCCTGTTAAAGGGATTAGATTAATTAAATTTCCAACTGCTTCAACCCCACCCTAATCCTCTTTAATAACGTTAACAATGAAATTTATATAAGAAAAAGCAACTTTTCCCTACTTATGAAATCAAAGAACACTTCTTGCCGCTACATCTAACAGATTCAGGCACCAGCAAGCATAAGCAATTACTTTGTGGCCAGCAGGCAGCCTTAAATAGATCTTAATTGAAGTCCTACAAGTAACAGATCCTTAGCTGATTGTCTATGGACAAAGGAGAAAATATTTATGACTATACTGATAACATTTACACCATTAACAAAGGCTTAAATAATTAAACAGATATTGCTGCTAAATATTTTTATAACAATTAGAAGAAGATTGTGATGTTTAATTTCATTTGAAATGCTAATATTTTAGTTCCGGGAGAATTGAATTTGGTTATTAATTAGCAATTTGTAGCCAAAATGAAATGTTGTTATTTTTGTTTAGTGTGCTTTCAGAATTTAGAGGGATGAATAAAATTTGAGACATGGTTTTACTGTTTCTATTGGTGGAAGATGCCTTCTTTCTGGCAAGTGACACTTTTAAAAGAACATCCTTTCACCAAGTTCTGCTAAGACCTTCAGAGTTAAAAAAAAAAAATCCTATATAAGCAGTATTAATGTAACACTTGCGGTTGTTATCATGTTAACATGATAACAAGCTTTCCAAGCTTTCCCTATCAGCAAACTACTGAGAATGAGAGTTGGTTTAAATGAAGGGAATTGGAAGCTGGTAATTGACTCCTTCGTATCAGAAGTACAATTTTTGGTGGTGGGACTTCACTCCCAGTCCCTTCTTGGAACTTCCTGGCCACTCCTCCATGCCTACAGTTTTTCTGCTCCCAGATTCTTGCTTGGCTAGACTATGGGAAGGCCCCTCTTTGATGACTTTTCTGAAGACACTCAGACTGCTCTGAGTCAGGAGCTGATGTTCGTAGGTCATGCTGAGGCACTGCCTTCAGGTCCGATAGCTTTGTTACGGGCATTGAGGGAAAGCAGAGACAAGTCAGAAGCAGAGATAAGTATAATCCAACATAGTGGACCTCCTTTTTAGACTTATAAGTCTCAAAGAAATATCAGTACCACCAATACCGACATACTGACAAGCGCTGATGACCACAGTTATAGAGATAGACTGTCTTCAGGCAGGAAAGATCCACAAGGCATAATATTTCTGATTGCCCTGGCCCTCCGGACATAAAGGGCAGTGATCTCTACAAATGGCAGTGCAATCTCATTTTGTA